CTTTCTTCACAATCTCCCACTTGAAGATTTTGATGAAATTAATCAAATCTTCACACTATGTCTTCTTCTCTCACATCCATGTTGCTTATGCTTCCGATAGGCCATAGAGGATCGACTCCATATAAACTTGTCAGCATTAACCTAGGCTTTGTCATTACATCTCGCTAGGTTCTTCTCGAGTGTGGATCTTACGTAAATCTACACTTCCTTCTTCTACTACTTCTCGAACAAAATGATATCTTATTCCTATGTGTTTTGTCCTTGAATGAAAGGTTGGATTTCTTGCAATGTGTAAGGCACTTTGACTATCACGAGTACACAACAATTTGTTGTTGCTTGTGACCAAGTTCCCCCATTATTCTTTTAATCCGAGATAGCTTCTTTACATGCTTGGGTGACGACCATGTATTCAGCTTCAGTAGTAGACAGAGCTACCACATCTTGTAACTTGGATAACCAACTTATCGCCCCTCCATTGATGGTAAACACATAACCGGTAGTAGACTTCCTTTTATCCGAGATCACCTGCAAAATCCGAATCTACATAGCCTCCGACAACCGCTTCGATCCTCCATAACATAATGCAACATTTGAGGTTCCTTTTATATACCTAAGGATCCTCTTCACATTTTGCCAATGCTCTCCACCGGGATTCCCCATGAATCTACTAACCACTCCCACTGCTTGTGCAATGTCCGGTCTTGTACAAATCATGGCATACATAAGACTTCCCACTCGCCGATGCATACGGTACTCGAGACATTTCGATCCTCTCCGCTTCACTGCTAGGACTCATACTTGAGGATAACTTACGGTTGACGGGAAGTGGGGTAGAAATTGGCTTGCAATCTTGCATGTTGAAGCGCCGCAAGATCTTAAGTAAATAATTCTTTTGAGAAAGCCAAATCTTCCTATCTTTTCGTCTCGGTGAATTTGCATCCCTAAAATCTTGTTTGCTTGGTCCCAAGTCCTTCATATCAAACTCCCTAGCCAATTGTGCCTTCAATTCTTGGATTCGAGCTTTGTTAGGGCCTACCACCAACATGTCATCCACATACAACGAGCAATATGATGAAATCATTTTCTTCAAACCTATTGTGGTAAGTACAATGGTCCGAACTTAGTCCGTAGTATCCGAGGCTAATAATGAAGGAATCAAATCTCTTATACCAACACCTTGGCGCCTGCTTTAGACCGTATAGAGATTTGTTCAACCTCGCAAACCAAGTTTTCTTGCTCTTTGAAGCCTTCTGGTTGGAGCATATATATTTCCTCTTCAAGTTCTCCATGAAGAAAAGCGGCTTTTACATCCAATTGCTCAAGATGTAAATCAAATGCAAGACACATCGCCAGGACAATTCGATTGTTGTCAATCTAACAACCGGTGAGAATATCTCGTTGAAATCAATGCCTTCTTTCCGAGCATATCCTTTTACCACCAGTCTAGCACGATATCTTTCTACTTGATCATTGGCATCTCTCTTGATCTTATAGACCCATTTGCAACCAATGGCTCTGCGACCTTTTGGAAGTTCCACAAGATGCCATGTCTTGTTTTTATGAAGAGCTTCAATTTCTTCTTCCATAGCAGACCATCCATAGAGGAGCTTCGAACCACTCACGGCCTCTTGAAAAGTTGAAGGTTCTCCTTCTTCACTTAGGAGACAATACGCATCATGACTTGCCATCACATATTGTGAATGCCAAGATGGTCCGACTCTTTCTCTTGTTGATCGTCGGAGTTCTCCTTCTTCCACCTCATTTGGCTCATGTTCTTCATGCTCCTCCTCTAACTCGGAGGAATGTTCGAAGTCTTCTTCTCTATCTCGTACTATAGTCTTGTCCTTTTCCGAGCTGTCATTTATCTGTTTGCTTTGCAGTTCATTTTCTGCAAAGACGACATCTCTGCTAACAATAACTTTGTGGGCAGTGGGATCCCACAAGCGATACCCCTTCACATTGTCAGCATATCCCAAGAAGATGCATTTCCTGGATTTTGGATCCAACTTCGTCCTTTCTTGGGTGTTGTACATCACGTACGCGGGACAACCAAACACATGTAAGGAAGAATAATCGGTTGTTTTTCCACTCCACATTTCCATAGGAGTTTTCAACCCAATTGCTGTTGATGGAGACCGATTTATCAAGTAACAGGCAGTATTCACGGCTTCTGCCCAGAAAGACTTTGTTATGCCTGCAGTTTGCAACATAGCTCTGGTTCTCTCTAGAAGAGTTTTATTCATCCGCTCTGCTACACCATTCTGCTGAGGCGTGTGTGGAACAGAAAATTGTCTCACAATTCCTTCTTGCTTGCAGAATGCTAGAAAATCTCCATCTACATATTCTCCTCCATTATCTGTCCTCAAACACTTGATTTTCCTTCCGGTCTCAAGTTCTACTTGTGCTTTGAAGTCTTTGAACCGCGCAAATACTTCGGACTTCTTCTTGATAGGGTATACCCATAATCTCCTCGAGTAGTCATCGATGAACGACACAAAATATTTTGCTCCTCCGAGAGATAATTCCGGTGATTCCCGGACATCGAATGGATCAAGTCCAAAGTTTGCTTACTCCTTGTGGTGGTTCTTGCAAACTTCAACCTGTGTTGTTTGCTTGTCACACAATGCTCACGGAAGGGTAAATCGACCTTCTTGAGCCCGGGTATGAGATCACGTTCCGCAAGAATCTGCAGACCTCGCTCGACATATGTCCAAGTCTACGGTGCCATGTTATCGCCGCTTCTTCTTGGCTTGTCGACGCAGCTTGTTGCATGATTTTCTTGCAAGGTGTCTCTCATAAGTACATACAAGTTTGCCATGATTTTCTCTGCTTTCATGACAACTATGTTTCCCCTCACCGCCTTTAAGATTCCTCCTTCAACATGGATCTTGCAGTCGAGGTCATCCAATTGCCCTATAGACAATATATTTTTCTTCAAGTCCTTCACATGTCGTACTTCTTGGATTGTGCGAATAGTACCGTCATACATTTTTAATTTGACAAGTACTCAACTCCAAGCAATCTCCAATGCATGGTCATTTCCCATGAACACGGATCCACCCGAGATAGGCTTGTAGGTTTGAAACCAATCTCGGTGTGGGGTCATGTGCCAAGTTGCACCTGAATCCATTATCCACTTGTCATGAAATTCGTTTCCGCCATTAGAGCCGATTGCTGCTTCGCTACCGCAATTACTCCTTCCTCTCGAAGTACTCGCAACGCAACCCCGTGAGGTTGATTCTTCATTCTTCCTCTTCCAACACTCTTTCTTCGTGTGCCCTTTCTTGCCACAAGTAGTAGCATTTAAATTTGAAAGTCTTCTTGTTTCGAGAGCTCGATCTCGCCATGATCTTGACTCCCACTTGAGCCACGTTCCGTTGATCTTCCTCTCATCATCGTCAAAACTTCCGCTTGTTTAGAACTTTCTACCTTATTCATTCGCCTGGATTCTTCTTCTAGAATAGCTCCGGCAACATCGTCAAAGTGTAGTTGTCCTTCAATATTATTATTTGTAATGTTGATGATGAGTTGATCATACGAGTCCGGCAAGCTCGAAGTAAAAGCTCGCACGCTCATTCTCAATTATGTTGAAATTTGCTGCTGCTAATTGGGCAAACAAGGTGTTCAGTTGGTTGATGTGGTCCGTCACCGATGTGGACTCACTCATCCGAAGAGTATAGAGTTTCCTCTTCGAGAATATCCTTGTGTGAAGTGACTTCACCTCATATAATTTAATGAGGGCATCCCAAATCTCCTTTGCGTAATCTTTCTCCGCAACACTGGATAGAACTGAGTCTGCCATTGCCAAGTGTAAATTTGTAATAGCGTTGCTGTCAATTTTCTTCCAATCTTTATCCGCCATTTCTACAGGTTTTCCCTCAATTGCTTCTGCGCAATTGTCCTTTCTCAAGATTGCCTTCATCTTCAATTTCCACAACGAGAAATTGTTCCCGTTGAACTTCTCTATCTCGTACTTTGCTGCCATGGTTGTATACAAACTTATGCAACTATCACTTATAAATAGTATTGTCTACCGGAACAATAGTAGTAAACCGTGAACCAGTACACCAAGTAGGTTCCCAGGAAAGAGAGGTGGGTCACTAATGGACACGCTTAAGTACCAAGTCTTTCCTAGCCAGAACTTTCCTCAATAGTACTTTCACACTACCACACCTTTTCCAGTAACAACTCCTTTCTGATGTGGAAGATCAGATTAAACTGCAACCACAGAGCATACTCAGAATTTTACCAACACTATTCTAGTGACGCGCAACGGAACTCGAACGCAGCTCTGATACCACTGTTAGTATCAGAGTACCAGCACAAATACACACAACTAAAATAGAGACGAGAAAAATAACCCTGACAATAGGCAAAAATGAAAATTTTATAATGACCACTCTTTCCTTTTACAATTGGAAATTACCAATACTAGGAAAGTAAAAGAGAAAGAAGGAGAAATATTTGGGATGTATGAAATAAGGGGGGAGGGGCTCCTTTTATAAGAAGGAGGAGAGCCCCCAATTGAAGTTCCCACGGATGTGGGACTTCTTTCTTCACAGCAAGTTGGTATTAAATTGTCTTTAAAATTTTCTTTTGAGTCAAACAACATAGATCCATCACTTTGTATTAATGGTTGTGTTTTTTATAATTATGTTACTAACAACAATTTTTATTCAAAGTGCTACAAAGATTATATCAAAGAAAACAAAATTAAATCAAAGGATGAATGATTAGTAGATGCATGGAAAGATTTTGGAATTGATGTTATGACAGAAATTTCTCCTACTAACACACATGGAACTACTAAGAATAAAGAAAAGAGGTCTAAGAGTTGCAACAAAAAATTGAAATATTAGGATTTGAATGTCAACGTGAGAAATGTGTTTTGTGAAGCACATAGATACCCAAAAGTGCATGCATGGGAGTTCTGTTTTCTTACATCTAACATCAAGTATGAATGAGTTGCCCCCTAATTCCATGGCTCCTAGTGCTTCTGCCTAAGAGCGAGTTGAAGTCTTAAGGGCTTTAAGCCACCCAGTTTCATTCTTTATCGCTTTGAGTTTTGTTACATCCCCTTGCCTTGTCCCCGTAACCACAGTCTAGGGAGGAGGGCAAGCAGATTTCGCGGGCAAAGAAGTTTTGGTTCTAGCTCATGGTAGCTCATGGTAATCTATGGAGAAAACAAAGTTTTAAAGTAGGCAAGCGGAGGAACTAGATCGTCAAGTTTTAATCAAACAAAATCCTTCTTGTACAAGTGATAAATTAAAATATAGGATTTAGGATTAATATTGATTTATAATTTGTAATTTTAGTTTCTTAAAATATTATTACAAAAATATACACTTTTTATTTAAGGAATATTTAGAATATATTTATAAGTTTTACATATAATTTCTACAGATGATATGAATAAATGACACCGTAGACAAACTTTATGTATTTATTTTTTATATCACAATAAAAATATTTTTTTATTTAATAATGTATAATAAAGTTATACATTTTATTACTCTTTATATATATATATATATATATATATATATTTTATATCATAATAAAGTTATATATTATTTTTATTAATTTGTATAACAATAAAGTACAATAATTTTATATTTAACTTGACATTCCAGATGTTAAAATTAAAGTATTGAAAATAAGAAATTTAATAAAAAATATTAGTAACAAAAATATCTATAGAAAAAGTTATAGCTAATTTATTTTAAATGTTAAAAAATGACATTGGTGATGAATTATAAGATTATATATGTATTATTGAATACTAAGATATATCTCTTTAGGGTTAGGTAGTTAGAAAAATGATTCATAATTGATTATGGTATATCTAAGATTAAATTAAGTCGGAATATAATTCATAGTCGATTGAGATGTATGTGGTTGTGAGTACTTGAGGAGGTATTAATGCGATTACTATCGGTGACGGATCTTCTTGGGAGCTAAGGGGGTATTACCCCCAAAGTTTTGTAACTCCCATGTAATTTATGATTTTAGTTCCCAAAACTTAATGATCATTAATATATTTACTTATATATTTACAATTTTTATCTTCTCATCACTCCTAATTCTTATGTAATTTATCCCTCAAACTTAAATATCATTTAATATATTTATTTATACATTTACAATTTTATCCTTTCACCCTTTTATCTTTTTCACCCTTTTATATTTATTATTTATTTATTAATAATATATTATTTGGTCCCCCAAAATCAATAGTCAAGATCTGCCGCTGATTACTATGTTTGTGCGGGTTCGACGAGATCTTAGATGCCACTTATAGTCAAAGTCAAATAGACTATGGTATTAATAAGTGAGTAGTCGATAAAGAGAGTACTCGATGACTTGCTCTAAGACCACGAGAGATGTGCATTAAGATGAGTAGCGTTGTTTGTAGTCTTACTCGTTAGTAGGGAAGTCAAAATAAGTGCTCGATAATCAAAGAGTATCTGGTGCGATATTGATTTTAACATAACCCGTAAATATTAGTATTTGATGTTAAAACATAACGTCGATGTTCTAGAAGACGTCTCTATGAGTGAGATATAATATGACGTACATGATTTGATGAAATATAACTGTATAATATTATATATGTAATAGCTTTAATAAATATTTGTTATGATCATGTTAATTACATGTGAATATAGATGTATCAAAGATTTAATTTAGAATATAGATGTAGTCGAATGTTTCTACATATTTTTATTAGTATTTTGTGTCATGATTTTGTACTAGTAAAATAATTTTTATATTAAATATTTATTAAAAATTATATATTTTCTTTACATATAATCGATGCAAATTACTTGTCATAATACATTATGATTATTTTAAAAAGTAATACACGCTTCATCATTTAGGGAATGATTTACTTGACCCATGTAAATTAATAATATATATACATAATTGTAGAATAATTATTCACATATCTAATAAACATTTAAAAAAATAAACACGTAATTTATATTTAAATTAAAATATAGATAAAAATATTTTAAAAATTTAAATTATTATTTATAATTTTATTTCATATTAGTTTATATTTTAGTAATATTTAATTAACGTCCATGTTTTAATGTTTTATCTTCAATACTTATCTATAATTTTTTTAATTATTATTATTATTATTAAATATAACATTATTATCGAGTTACATCATGATAAATATTTTTTTAAACTGGGATAATATATATTAATTATTCTCTTTTATTTAAAATAATTTTTGAAAATAAAGTTATATAAAATTAATTTAAAATATATTTTTAAAAAATAAAATTAATAATTATTAGATGAATCTTAATTTTAAGAAACTAAATAATATATTATTAATAAATAATTAATAAATATAAAAAAGTGAATGAATAAAAAAAATAAAATGAAAATTTATAAATATATAAACAGATATATAAATAAGAAATCAAAATTATATGTAAAACTTTGAAACTTAACTAATATATGAGGTATACTAATTTTTTTTTTTAATTTCCAAGAAACTCGGTTACAAATGACCATGAGTATTCTTAACATATATGAGGTATACTAATTTTTTTACGTATCCGCCCACCAACATTGATATGATTAAATACATTCTTATCTATCAACATAACAATTTCTATATATTTAAGAATATTTAATTTAATTCTATTTCACGTTAAAATAAAATTTAGACATTCCTATGATCATATAATAATTTAATATAATATTTTTTTAATTCATAATAATAGAAACATTTATATTTAATAAATAATTTGAATCCAACTAATCATAAATCTTATAATATTTTCTAAACTCTACTAACTTCTTTGTTGTAATTCTTATACCTTTTCCTTTGTTCTTAACTGTTTCTTCAGTATACGTGAGAATGCAAGCATAACATTAATGATAGAACTTTCAGAATTACGAGGATTCATCAAGGACAAAAATTTGATAATCTTTAAGATAATCTTTTGGAGCACTTCGAACAAAAATTACTAAAATAAAATAAACTGTTGTTTGAATAAAAAACGTTGAAATTCTTTGTTTTTGTTTTAACGGCATGATGATAATAAATTAAATTCTAAATATATTATATAGGAAACAATAAATTGTAGTGGAGTAAAGTTCAAGGCATGTCAATAGATAATAACTTGCAAACAAGAATATAAAGGGATTGGCCAAAAGTCTATCTTGCTAAAAATTAAAAGGGAATTTATTCCACCACTACCACTGCTATTACTGGTGATTTAAGAACAATGATAAAAAAAACATGATTAATCTAATTGTACAAATTAATAATCATATATTTCTTATAAATAAAAGGAGATTTATTTATTTAAGAGTAAAAATTAGAAGTTATTATTTAAAAAAGCTATAATTATATTGAAAAGTTTGTTATTTCTTGTAGATATCTCCTTCCTCTTATTATAAAAGAAATAATCAATGTTACTTTAAAATCACGTCAATGCAAAAAATCACATTTAAGTTAGGTGACAAATCATGCTGTAAAACCTGAACCCAAAAATTAAGCCCATTTCCTTAGTCTGGATTTGATTCAAGGCTGGGTCGAAGTTGAAAAGCCCAACTATAAAACTATTTGCATGGACCAAACGAGCCCAATATAGTTTATCTTATATTCAATGTGACATCATTAAAATCCAAATCTTAAAAAACATAAACAATTATGTCAAATTTATATTAGTAGAATATTTTTTTAAAACTTTATAAAAATAATTAATAATATTTTTTAAAATTGAAGTTATAGTAATTAAATTAATTTTAATTTTAAATATAATATTTTTATATAATATTTTTTTTTATATCTTTTCCTTATTTTCTCTCATATAGCAGGGTATATTATAAAGTGATTTTGTATAAAACTCATAACATCATTGTCGAAGATGAAATCCTAACTAGATTTTATTAGTTTAATTTTTATAGTGTAAATTTTTTATTTAAATTATCATGCTCAAAATTGAACATAATAGTAATTTTAAAAGAATATACCATAATAAAGTTTTATGTTTTAATTAAATAACGGTATTAATTTACTGTGATATCCTTTGAATTTTGTGACGAGATGCATGATGATGTTGAGACTATGTGTAATCTTAAAATTTTGTTCTCCAAATTAATAATTTATTTTATAAATAATAAAAAATATTTTTATTAATTTGACATAAATGTACATCTCTCTCAGTTATTTTTAGATGAATGAGTTGTGAGAGTTCAATCATCTAAAATTTAATTAAAATTTATAAACTTACTTATATTTTCTCTATAAGAAAAATCACATAATTGTCAGAGATACATAATATCGTTACTATACTTTGTTATAATTATTTTCATAGTACCATCAATTGTTAATTAATATAATAAGTATAGGTTATAAAAAAATTAAATTAATAATTTTTATTTAAATTAAATTTTAAACTATTTATGAGCCATATAAATATTTAAAATATAACTAATATATTTAATTAATTATTGGTAAACTATCTTTATAATTAACATTTTTATCACGACTTCAAATATGATTTTGTAAATCAATTATTTTTTTTAAATCATGATTTTTCATTATTTTCCTAACTAAATAGGGATAGTGATTCTATTTTGTTATTTTTAATAATTTTTTTCATATTTTAACGTAAATTTGACAATTTTTTTTAAATACATAATTTAATAATTTATTTTTCTTTATTTAATATATATATATTATACTTTTTCATTTTTCATATTACAATAAAAAATAAATATTTTATTTGATAAATAATAATATAATTTTATAAACTATGGAAAAGAAGTTATAAAAAATAAAATTTTTATATATAATTCTTGATTTTATTTTATTGACAAAGTACCAATCACGCTTCACAGTTGCTATAAAAGATAAATACATTGATTTTAAATTATTTTTATTTGATTTATTTTTTCAATATTTAGTTAGATAAAGTATTTCAAATTTTTAAATTTTAATTTTTGTATTTATATAAAATATTACAATCATTAATAAATATGAAGTTTATTATAACACTCTTGTTAATTTAAAAGAAAAGGATTTTATATGGATTTTTCTTCTCATCGTAATAATACGATTTGTCGAAGGGAATATATAAGTTTTATTTTATATTTTTTACTTTTAATTGTAATGTCCGTTATTTCTGTTTTAAAACAAATTCTTTTATATAAGCTTTAAATTATTTTTAACCAATTACTGTGATAATTTAAATTGATGGAATATTTTTCACGTAATATCTTAATTGAGCATAATAAATAAATTATATTTACTAAAAATAAAATTAAATAAGAGGAGAGATTAAAATAATTTTTTATAAAGAATGAGAAATTTTTATAAAAATTATATGAAAATTATATTTAAAATATCTATTTAAAATAATTATTAATATATATATATATATATATATATATATATATTTAGGATATCATATCTTTTTTATTTTTATTTTTTTATAAATTTTATTTATATTGATATAATATTGGATTAAAAAAGATTTAAATATTTTGATGATTAATTAAGATAAAATTTTTTATTTTGTTTGGGCTATAAATACTCTTCTGTATCTCGCATATTCTTCACTCTTTTTATTCTCTCTACTCCATATATTCTTCACTCTTTTATTTTCTTTGCTTTAAATCTAAGGTGATAATATCAAATTGTCTTCAAAATTCTCTTTGAGTCAAACAACATGAATCCATCATTTTGTGCTAATGGTTGTGGTTTCTATGGTTCTGTCACCAACAATAACCTTTGTTCGCAGTGCTACAAAGATTATATCAAAGAAAATGAAATCAGATCAAAGGAGGAGCCAATAACAAATACATGGGAAAGTTCTGAAATTGATGTTATTGCAACTATTTCTCTTCCAGACACTCGAGAAGTTACTAAGAACAAAGGAAAAAGGTGTAAAAGCTGCAATAAGAAGATTGGAATATTAGGATTTGAATGTCGATGTGGAAATATGTTTTGTGGAATACATAGATATCCAGAAGTACACGCATGCCAAGTAGATTTGAAGGAAATAGGTCGTCAAGCATTGATCAAACAAAATCCCTTATGTATAAGTGATAAATTAAAAGATAGGATTTAGGATTAATATTGGTTTGCAATTTATTTTTTTTAGTGTCTTGTAATATTATTTAAAAATATATAATTTTTTTATTTAAGGAATATGTAGAGTATATTTTAATATTTATAAGTTTTACATATTCAAGTGCAAGACAACTTTATGTATTTAATTTTTATACCACAATAAAAATATTTTTTTATTTAATAAGTTATAATAAAGTTATATATTTTATTACTTTATATATATATATATATATATATATATATATATATATATCTTTTATATCATAATAAAGTTATATCTTATTTTTATTACTTTATATCACATTAAAGTACAATTATTTTTTTATTTAATTTCATATTCCACATGTTGAAATTGAATTCCAATAAAAAAATAGCCAAAGAAAAAAATAATGAATCCTAAAAATAATACATTTAAAAAAAAGTACTCAATTATTTTCTCAAATATACCTCTTTATTGTTCACACAATTTTTCTTCTCTTAACTCATTAATTATTATTTTTTTCTTATCTTTCTCTTTTCTATCTCAAGTCTCTCTCTTTTTTTCCTCTTCTCCTAATTAAACTATTATATTAAATTTAATAAAAATATGTTAAAATAAATATTTAAAAATAATATTAAAATTAAAATACTTTTAACTAAATGTTTAAAACTATAATGAAAATAAATAATTTTATTTATTTTGACAATAAATAATTTTATTTACAATATAATTATTTTAAAATTATTTTAGCACTAATAAATAATTACTCATTTAATTAAAAAATCAAATATTTATAATTTAAATGTATGTTTATTTAATAATTTAATTTAGTTATAATTAGGATGAGTTATGATAATTAGTTAGATTAGGTATTTAAAAAAATTATTTTAAAATAAATATTTATTTTTTTCTTAATAATTATAACATAATATTATTTGCAACCTCTCAAATCTATCCTATAATATTTTTTTATTATATAATATATTAAATTATAGTATTTCTGGAGTGAGAGAATAATAAGAGGACAAAAAATAATAAGTAAACGAAGAAAAAAAATAAAAAAAATAAAAAAAGTGAAAAATAACAATATTATGTCAATCAAATCTATTTCTTCTTATTAAAGTTTGTATAGGAATAATAAATAAGTTTAGTGAAGTAAATAAACTTAGAAAGATTTTGTTTAAATAATTATTCTTTTTAAATATATTATTTATAACATATATTTAATTTTTTCATTCTACTTATATTATTTTAAAATAATAATAATATGAATAAAAATTAATTTTAATATTTTTTATGCATAAATTAATATTTATAATTTATTTATTTTTAATTATTATTATTAATTAAGTATACACTTTAATTATTATATTTATATTAAGATATATGTAAAAGATATTTAATTAATTTTTTATTTATAAATATTTATAATATTATTATTATAATATTATATTTAAACATATAATTAAATATATAAATTAATTATTTTTTAAGTTATTATTTTAAAATATTAATAAATATGAAATATATAATTTATATAAAATTATTTAATAAATTAATTTTTGTTTAATTACTGTAAATTAATACAAATTTTAATTATTAATTTTTTTAATTTTTCAAAATATATTTATTTTTATTAAAATAAAATTTGATATATGATAAATACAAATTATAAAATTTAGAAAATATGACATAATAAACTTAATAAAATAAAATTAAATTAAAAATAAAATAATATTAGATAATATTAAGATTGATGTAGAGAATAGTTAATTTTTTTTGTCAAATCAAATTAAAAAAATTAAATTAATTAAAGAGATTAAAAAAATATAAAGAAACAAAATGTGAAAAAAAGAAAATAATATAATGAATGAGTTTGATGTAGAGATTTAAAAATAAAAAAAATGTGAAAATAAAGAAAATAATATAATGAATGAGTTTGATGTAGAGATTTAAAAAATAAAAATAAAAATAAAAACTATGGTTCGAGAGATAGAACAAAATAATTATCAACGTATGCGGACCTCATACAAAATAATCCTCCACTAATCTTTCAAACCTCACTTCTATGTTAATGATTTTGAGGTTCACCTCATATAATTGTGAGCTTATTTGTAAGATTGAGAAGTATTTAATAAATTTCTGTCTCAGAAACTGAAAGTTAAGAGAAGAACTCTTCAAATGGAGACACCATTAATACCTTAAAGGTTCAGTTTGGAATCTGACTACTTGGCACTGAAATGTGTTAAATTTGTATTTTGGACAGAGACAGTGAAGATATGGAGGATAACACTCCTAGTGGCATTATCTTCAGTTTTTCAGACTCTCCTCGACGTCCATCTATGTCATCTTGGAGACCTTGAACTCTCTTCTATCTCTGTTTACCAAGAGGTTCTCGGTTCCGTCTATTTTTTCTTGATGGTTAGCACCTGTCTAACGTCTCTCTTCAGCAAAAACTTGCACTTTTTCTTTTCTTCTTTAGATTCATAAATACAGGAAAATGATGTTACCAAATCCATTAATGAGTAGTTTAAGTCTCTTTGTGGCCAAAAGGCAAGTGTACAATCTAATCTTTTTCATTTAGGCATATGGGAAATTTGGTCTTTCTTGTATACGAAAGAACAATTATTTCCTCGTCTTCTTCTGATTACTATTATTATTATTTTGCATATACGATTTATTGATATCTTTTTCTATCTTATCTAACTTACATGCACAAAATTGTCGTCCGGTATGTTTTATACACTTATAACGCTCTGGGCAAGGTTTTGGAGTAGGGAAAATTCAAAGTACTTGTACTTATGTTCAAAGGTCATCCATTATATTTACTTCCACTTGTGTAATCCTCTTGCCTATTTATGTGTATGCCACACCAATCTTAAGGTTGCTTGGACAAGAAAAAGAAATAGTTGATCTTGCTGGAAGGTACTTTGGATCTTTCGAGGGAGATTCAGAGGGGAGAAATAACACTAATGAGACATGAGTCCAATCCACATAAGGATTGATATTACTCTCAACTTAAAACTTTAAGGCATTGAGTTATGAGTCTTCTTCCTTATATGTTGTTAGACTCACACTTGTATTTTTTAACAATCTCCCCCTCAAGTGTGAATTCCTCACTAATAGCCCTTCTCGTTCACTCTAATGGGACATGTTTACTTGACTCACTCTGTCAGGATGATTTTCGATACAAATAATAATCCCTCCCTCAAGTGTGAATTCCTCAGAAGTAGCTTTTAGTCGTTCACTCTAATGGGATACACTTAACTGACTCACTCTGTCAGGATGAATTTCGATACAAATAACAATCTCTCTCTCCCCCTCAATTATGAATTCCTCAATAGTATCCTTTTCATGTATCATCTCACTAGTAGCCCTTCTCATTCACTTTAATGGGACACGCTTACCTGACTCACTTTGTTAGGATGATTTTCGATATAAATAATAATATCTCCCTCAAGTGTGAATTCCTCACTAGTAGCCCTTCATTGTTCACTCTAATGAGACACGCTTACCTACCTCACTCTGTCAGGATAACTTTCAATACAAATAAAAATCTTTTTCCCCCTCAAGTGTGAATTCCTCATTAGTAGCTCGTTCATGTATCGTCTTTCACTCTAATGGGACACACTTACCTGACTCACTCTGTCAGAAAGATTTTCGATACAAAGATCACTTTAACCTACTATCAATCAACCTTTGACTCTTATATCACTTGTTGGGTCTTTCGAGGGGGATTCATAGAAGAGAAATATACTAATAAGACATTAGTTTAACCCACATCAGGATTGACATTACTCTCAACCCAAAACCTTAAGATATTAGGTTATGAGTTATACTTTATTATATTTTGTTCAACTTCCTCGTTCTTACAGAATGTGAGACTTAAAAACATTAGTACATCCCCTCAAACTCATTAGTAGCTCTTCCATGTATCATTGTTCACCTTAATGAGACACACTTACTTGACTCACTGTCAGAAAAACTTTTGATACAAAAACTGCTTTTGAACTGCCGATCAACCTTCGACTCTGATACCACTTGTTGGGTCTTTCGAAGAGAATTTACTGGGGAGAAATACAATAATGAGACATGAATCCAATCCACATAAAGATTGACACCACTCTTAACAAAAAACTTTAAGGCATTAGGTTATGGATTTGTCTTCCTTATATGTTGCTCAACTTTCTCATTCTTACACAAAATGAGACTTAGACTCACACTTGTATTTTCTAACAATAATATAATTCCCTGCATGTTTTCCTGTGCTATAGAATTTCCATTCTAAACATTTATTTAGTACCAACCAAAGCAAGGTTAGAGTTATGTTTGTGTCTCTTCTCGTACAAAATGTGTTATTGTACATTTTCATAACTATATATGGTTGGGGTACAACAGACTTAGCCATGGCATATAACATCACAAGGTGGGTATATGCATTGACTATGGTTGTGTATACCATTTTTGTTGCAAAGAATGGAGTGGATTTTCTTGATTGACATTTAGGGATGTTTGGGTCTTTACTAAGTTAAGCCTTGCATCATCTATAATTAGTTGCTTAGAGCAATGGTATAGTACATACATTACTATCCTTGCTGGTAAAGTAGATAATCCTGATTGTTGTTGGTTCCTATTAAATTTGTATGAAGATAAATTGGAACTGATTTGTAGTTGTTTTAATTGCTCAAAATACACACTCTTTCTATCATTTTTCATCTTTCCCTGAATTCAATTTAACTCCTTTTTAAATCTTTGTATTTTTAACTTTAATATGTCTTAGGTTGGACTATCAACTATGTTACTAAAAAGTCTAAATTAGTCAAATTCATTTTATCTCACTTAACTTAAGTGGAGATGAGTCTTTTAAGTCAGAACAAGAAGTAAATTTCGTAGTTTTTAAAATAAAACACCTCAATAGAATTATGATTTCTGCTTAGTTTACCATTGAAGCATAATTTTATTCGTTTTGATAGTTGGAATCATTAATTGAAGATATTTGTTTGGAGATATCAATGTTGCACTATGACTGGATTTTATGTTTCTTCTTGTTTTTCAAATTTGACAGCACTTGTTTTTAGTATATATGCTACTTGTAGGTATTTTATATTTTGACTTGACTTTTTTATACTCATATTTTGATGTTAGTGTAGGGTGATTGATTAATTTGTGTCGGTAGTTTTTACTTAATAAGGGAGTTTTCACATGTTGAAAATATTAATATTATTTCTATAATTATTCTTGTTATTTTGTGAAGTTAATTTTTAAGGAAAATTATTTTTGATATATATATATATATATATATATATATATATTTTTATTGTCGTATTGGTTTTCTTATCAATATTTAGTCTTGGCACGCGATGCTTGCTCGTTGGAATAATTGTCGCCATAACGTAAGTAATCATAAAATAGATACATGGATGCAATATTAGGTCGAAATGGATTTTTCGTGTGATTCTTCACTTCTTATATTCGCCATTTGCTCTATACCCTCCAAGTATTCGTGTTTCCAATACAATTGGAATGTTCAGACTCTCCTCCTTGGAATTCTTTCCATGGCTGTCATTTTCTTCAGTAAACAAGAGTTTGCCAAAATCTTTACATGATACGAGCTGCCATTGATTTAGCATACCTTGGTGTATCAATGGTTCTCAATAGTGCTTCACAAGTGATGTCAGGTGGTTGTTTGTATTTTCCATCTTCAAAAGTTCATTCTGTAACATCTTGCCCCCACCTCATAATTGTCCTTCTATCAGTACAAATAATTCTAATGGCTTTTTGACATGTCCATAGGTATGGCTGTTGGGAGTGGATGGCAAGTTATGGTTGGTTACATAAACTTGGCATGCTATTACATTGTAGGACTCCCTATTGGACATTGCCTTGGTATAAATCAACACTTATGGGTGAAGGTAAGAATGCTCTTCTCATGCCTTATGTTTCTTTACTTTTCAATGTTTGTACTTATCCATTGAGTTTCCCCAAAATTTACATACCAAAATGGTCTTGTGGTTTAGGGCGTGTGGGGAGGCACATTACGTATGGCAGGGTTCTTCAGATATTAGTCTTCTTTGTGATTATTTTAGATATTAGAATTTTTTTAATAAGCACATCTTTTTTTGGGCATCCATTTCTAAAGTTCTGCAATGATGTTCTATATGCTAATTGCGCTAATTATTCTCATTATAATATGATCACACCCACTAAAACTCGGGTCTTATCAACAACTTGTTATTATTTTTTTCTAAATTACATAAAAATAAAAATATCAAATTAAGTAGCCTTAAAAATTAGTCGTCGAAGCAAAAGAGCAACGTGTTTCCTATAAAATAAAAATGGTAGGCTTATTATAAATTTTAATAATTTAAATTTATAAATTTTATTATAAATTTAGATAAAAAATAAAAATCTATAAATTATAATTCTAAATAATTTAAAAATAGTTAATATTTTTTCATTAATAACTTTATTTAAATAATTTTATTTAAAAAAATATTAAATAAATTCTTTTAATGGGTAACGAATTTTCTTTTTCATTCTAGATATACTTCACTAAACATACTTTTAGAAGAGAAAAAAATCATATTAACTTTTTTTAATTAAATTAATTTATACATAATTAATATTAGAAGTTTTATTATGTAACTCATCTAAGTTTTTTTTAATTTATTTATAAATTAATTTTATCTTATGAAAGATCATTTTATTTTTTTCTTATAAGAAAATTATTCACTCTCATCAGGATATAAATGTTTAAATCGTCACAATAGTTACGATGAAGCCAAATTTGGACGAATTGATAATTAATAATTTAACTTATAAAATTACTTCGAACATTTTGAAGGCATTTTTTTATAATAATTAGGAATGTGTTTCCCAAACAACTAGGGACGTGGAACACTCCATATAGTGTTATAATAACTTTTGGCTATGAATTGCATGAAACAACATTTGTCATGATTTCTTACATAAGTTGTGAGCTTCTTTTTTCTTTTCTTTTTTTCAAAACGGTGAAATTTACTTTCAGTTTTTAACTTCGGAGAACTCAATAATGTAGTGTCACATCTCTCATTCTTGCTTCATTGTGCAAATGACTTTGGAATTTATAAATAGCATAACTGATTTAAGAATATAATCATTATAAATGTAAGATATAAAATTATTTATAAAAAGTCAATGCTTACGTTATTATTAAAAATGTGATTTATATATATTATCCAATATGATGTAACCAAGAGTTCATGAACACACATTATATAATTTTGTTGCAATGTGTGATGATAATACATTATAGTGAATTTCTAAAACTGGGAAAATGGCTTTGAGTTGTGAGTCCTACGAGTGGAAGTATTATGTGTTCTTGAGCTTTAGAAGGGAAGATACCCGCATGAGTTTCACAAGCCATCTCTATGATGCTTTATGTCAAAAAGGAGTTAACACTTTCATAGACTACAAGGAACTCAAGAGGGGAGAAAAAATTTCACCTTCACTTTTTGGTGCTATTGAAGCCTCTAGGATCTCAATTGTCATATTATCCAAGACTTATGCATCTTCCACCTCTTGCTTAGATGAACTCCTTAAAATCCTTGAGTGCAAGGATTCCAAAGGTCATCTTGTTTTTCCTGTTTTTTATCACATTAATCCATCTCAGGTAAGAGAACAGAAGGGAACCTTTAAAGAAGCTTTGACCAACCATGAACGCAACTTCAAGAATGATGTGGACAAGGTGAAAAGGTGGAGGGAAGCTCTAAGTGAAGTAGCTACTTTGTCTGGGTGGCACATAAATGGGTATATACGTCTTTTTAGAGTTGTTTACCTTTCTTGTATTCCATTCTTTGTTCACTATGATGTGTTGATTTCACATCAAACATTTATTCTTATGCTATGCTTGGTTGGTTGAAAAGAGAGTAAGGAGGAAGATAACTTCAAAATTTTAAAAAGAAAATTTTGAAACTTTGTATATGCTAAGACTCAATATTTTTTTATGTATTTTCTTTTCTTGTTAGTCATGTTGAATAAAATTAAATATCAAATAATAAATTTAAATATTAGTTGCAATATTTTGATTTTGCGTATATTTTTATACTTAATATTATAATTCTAAGAGTGAATATTACTATTTTAGGAAGTTAATTCCAGGATTTCAGAAAATTAAAGTTGCAGTTTTTAAATACTCGGATATAATTTTTATTTTGTGTGACAAAGAATCAATAATATACAAATTTCATAAATTTTTGTTATTAAATTGGTATAAAGAATTAAGGTTTGAGTGTGAGAGAGTGATAACACGTCTAACAAATTGTGTGTTTCTATCCTGACAAAGACAGTCAATTATGACAATTAGAGTCTTTAGATAAAAGCTCTTCTTAGATCCAAGGATAATTGAGAGGTGGTTGATGAAGGTTTTCAAGAACCAGCTAGCACTACAAGTATTTTAGTAGCCCAAAAAAAGGCGTTGGAAGAGATGCATGCGAAGGATAAGGCAATTTTGTACATGTTGTATCAAGTAGATGAATCTAACAAGTGCTAAAAATTCAAAAGAAGGATGAGAGATTTTTGAGAAAGCATGCAAGGATAATGACCAAGTCAAACAAGTTCAACTACAAATACTTCGTTGCAAACTTTAGAGCATGAGAATAAAGGAGTTGGAAGGAATTTTTTAGTACATCACTCGGGTTGAGATAATGGTGAACCAACTTAATTGGAATGGAGGAATGCTCATTAATGTCGGAGTTGGAAAAATTTTGAGGTCATTAATCAACGACTCCAAAAATGTTGTGTGATAAAGGATCCAAAGGACCTATCCGATCTCATGGTACAGGAACTAACTGGGTCTCTTGAGACCTATGAGCATCGGAGGAAGAAGAAAAAGAAGAAGAAGAAGAAGAGAAAGAAAGGAAAGGAAGGAGGAGGAGGAGGCAATCCTACAAAAGCTCCAAAGTTAAATGTCTCTTAAAGAAGAGAAAGTTCTTACTCATAGAACACTCGTGGTAGATGACGAGGACGTAGAGGTCGAGGATAAGGTGATAGAGGTTGTGGACAAAGCAGTAAGGAGAAAGACTCAAACTAGTAAAATTAGTATAGTGGAGGACATAGTCGAAAAGGAGGTTAGTCATTGTACTACAATCTTGAATGCTACAAGGGATGCAAATATAGTCATTACATGTGGGATTGTAACTCGAAAAAATGTTACAATTGTAAAAAAGTGGAGCATTTATAAGGAATGTCGAGCTGAAAAAAAGGTGGAAGAGACAAACCTTGTGGATGAGGAAAGAGATAGTCAATCATAAGTTGGGAAACGATAGTAGAGTCGTTTACAAGTCGAAAGGATGTGAAGGTGTCAATCACGATACGGTATGGTAGCTAGACATGGGTGCAATGTGTAGAGACAAACTCTTATTTAAGGAGTTAATGAAGGAAGTCTGGCTATGTGACTTTTAGTGATGCTCTAAAGGTCTTAGTAAAAGGATGAGGCCTGATATATTACTTACATAAGGATGGCTTAGTCAAATCAATTCAAGATGTGTATTACATTCTTTATCTCAAAAGTAACATTTTGAGTTTAAGATAGTTGATGGAGAGAGGCTACTCGATATTAAAAAAAGATCGAGTACTTCACTTGAAGGATAAAATTGAAAGGTTAATTGTCCGAGTTGAGATGGAGGAGAATAAAATGTACAAGTTGTAACTAAAAAGCATTCAGGAAAGGTGTTTGACACTAAACATAGAGGATGTAGTGCTGAGTGGCATCATCGGTTTGGTCACCAACATTTTGGTGGACTAGTCGAGTTATCAAAGAAGAGCATCGTGCATGGGTTGTCAAGCATAGAGTGTGAGAGAAGATCTTGTGAAGAGTGTACGATCGGTAAATAAGCAAGGACTCCATTTCGAAAACAAGGCGAGTACTAAACGAAGGAGCAACTTAAGTTGATTCATATTGGTCTCTATTGATCGATTACCCCTAAATCATTCAGTGATAAGAGGTATTTTATGACTTTTTGTAGATGGTCTCTTAAGAAAAACATGGGTCTATTTTCTAAGAGAGAAATTTGAGGTGTTCAAGAAATTCAAGGTGATAGCGGAGAAGACAACTAAGAGACATATCAGGTCAATCCGATCTGATAGATGTGAAGAGTTTACATCAACGACATTCATGAAATATTGTGAAGATAAAGGTATGAGAAGATTTTCGACAGCCTCGTACTCACAATAACAAAATGATATGGAATTGAACTATTCTTCATGGTTCGATCAATGTTGAAGAGTAAGAATATGCCAAAGGAGTTTTGAACAAAACTTGTGCAATGTGTCATCTATGTGCAAAATAGGTGTCCACATACAAACTTGGAGGATCGAACACCACAAGAGGCATGGAGTGGTAAAAAATCGATCGTGTCTCATCTTAAAGTATTCAACAATGTGGCTTATGGACGTGTATTTGCTCAACAAATGACGAAGCTTGAAGATAGGAGCAAGAAGTTTGTCTTTATTAAATATGATGAGAAGACAAAGGCTTACAAGTTGATAGATCTAATAAGTAAGAAGGTGGTGATAAGTTAAGATGTTCAAGTTGATGAAACAAATGAGTGAAATTAGGTGACTCGTTGGAGGATGTTGATGGAAATCGAGGATCAACAGTTGTTATACCACCAATTATAGTAAGATCGAAGACCATGGAGGAAAAGGAACCACAACCTAGAATGTGTAGTTTACAGTACTTGTATAACTTGACTAATGAGGTATGATGTGCACATAAAAGCCAAAGTTCATGAGAAGAAAGATAAAGATCTAACTGAAAACTTAATTGGATCAATGAATAAAGGAAGGATTAGAAAGACCCAACAAGTTTTATAGTAGAAGGTGACTCTTTTATGGGTGGTCCAACAGTCAAAGGTTCAAGTCACTAAGGAGGCTAAGTTGGTTAAATGTGTACTAGGCTTGGGGAGTTAAAAAAAAAATATTTTATTCTTTTTTATGGAGTTGAGATTTAAACCCAAAATCATTAGTTTAATATTTGATTAGTTTACCATTTGAGGCAAATTAATTTTGCTTTTAATTCTTTTGGTTTTCTTTTCCTTTTATTTAATTACAAAGAAAGTCAAATCCCAAGAAAACTCTAAATTTGTATTTATGATTGTTAAATTAAAAAAAGAGGTAACAAATTATTTTCATCAAATTGAGAATATCTTTCTACTAGGGTCATTCCTTGCACCTTCGATGTTATCAAGAATTCACCAATTCTTGTAGCGATCATCCTTAGGCTTATCAAACTTTGTTTGCGACGTCTTCCTTTATTTAGGTTTTCTTTTTTTTTTGTTCTCAATTCCTAATTTTTTATTCTTAATTGATTCTAAACCTTGAATCTTTTTGCGTCAATTCTATTTGAAATCTTATCAAGGTACATTGTATATATCTTTTAATAGATTCTTAAAACATAAGGTTTGAAGAAGCAATACGTAATGAGAAGTGACGAACTATTATGGATGATGAAATTTGAGTAATAGAACGCAATGACACATGAACGATGATTAAGTTGTCAACCCAATCACAACAAGTCGATGTAAAGTGAATATTCAAGAAGAAGAAGAATGCACAAGGATAAGTAGCTTGGTATAAAGCTTGGTTAGTTGCAAAGGGCTACAAGTAAAAGGAGGGGATAAACTATGATGAGGTGTTTGTCCTAGTGACAAAGATGGAGACAAATTGGCTAATGATCACTCTAGCAGCATAGTATAAATGGTCGATCAAGTAAATGGATATTGAGTAAATGTAACGCCCTAACCGCTTGTACAGAATTGTTGACTATCCCCATAACCCAACATGAGACTTTCCAGTGTATTTTGTCCTCACTCACACACTTTCTGAGAACTTATCAGAAGGTCACCCATCCCACGATTTCTCCAAGTCAAGCATGCTTAACTATGAAGTTCTTATGTGATAGGTCACCGAAAAGTAAATGCATTTTTGTTAATATAGATAGTACCAATCAATTCTCTTAAGCTATTCTTCAACTATATAGTCTCATACTTATACAACCTTTGGATCTCTCTGCTTCGGTTGATATGACCCTTCCGCTAGAAGTCTGCCAGGAGTCGCTCCTTGTCCGTGCCTCATTGCACCGGCGATCACTCCCCGCCCTCGTCAGCACCCGGGATGTCATAGTAAACATTTTTAAATAATTTGCACAAAGAAAAGTATATTGCACAACACCGAGATACGTGAAGAAAAGAAAGAAGATGAAAGTGTGAAGGCTGAATAAAGCCCTTTATAGGCTAAAATAAGCTCCTTGATCATGGAACAATCGAATTCATACTTATTTCAAGGAGAATCGGTTTGTACAATGTCCTTATGAACATGTCCTATATGTAAAGAAGAATGGAGATAGTGTAATGTTTATTTCTCTTTATGTTGTCGATCTCATTTTTATGGGAAATAATTTTGTAATGATTCAAGAGTTTAAGAGCACAATGGTGAGAGTTTGAGATGACTGATTTGAGTATAATAAAGTTCTTTCTTGGCTTGGAGGTTACATAAGAGGAGTCATGGATATTTGTATTTTAAAAGGCGCGTGCAAAGGAGATTCTAAATAAGTTTAAGATGGTCAGCTATAATCTGATCTCAATCCCATGGAACTAGGTATCAAGCTTTCAAAGTTTGATAGAGGAGATCGAGTTTATCCTAATAGATATTGGAGTTTAATGGGAAGCCTTCATTACCTTGAAATTACAAAACCCAACTTGTTACTAAGCATTGAGATAATTAGTCGATTTGTGGAGAACCTGAGTTATTCTCATTGGAAGGCGCTAAAGTGAATACTAAGGTATATCCAAGGATTAGTATCACTTAGACAATTTTATATGAGGTTAGACAATTATCAATTGGTTGGATACTCGAATAGTGATTGATGTGCATATGTGAATGATCGAAAAAATTCATAGGCATATGTGTTTTTCATGGGAAACACAACTTTTACTTGGCTTTTGACGAAATAACCCATAGTGACACTATCGACGTGTGAAGTCGAGTATGTAATAGCATCTTGGTGTGTCATGTAATATGTCTCAAAAATTTGTTGAACCATTAGAGGAACAAAAGGTCAGTGAGATGGTCTGAATTGATAACAAGTCATTATTGAATTGACAAAGAACTCGATTATCAATGAGAGAAGTAAACATATTTTTATTTCATCCGAAAATACATGAAGTAAGAGAATGTGGAGCTAGTGCATGTGACGAGTTGAGATCAAGTTGCAGATATATTCACGAAGTCATTGTCTACAATTTTGTTTGAGAAAGGCAAGAATATGATTAGGATGAAGGATAGAAGAAGTGGTTAAGTCGGTCAACTAAATCTTTCACCGATCTCGGTTTGTTAAAGAAAAACATTTCATTTTAGAGGAGAGTTTTGATGAATAAAATTAAATGTCAAATAATAAATTTAAATGTTAGTTAAAATATTTTGATTTTACGAATATCTTAGACAATTAATATTACTATCTGAAGGAGTTAATGCTCGGATTTTGAAAAATTAAAGTTACAGTCTTTAAATACTTAGGTGAAATTTTTATTTATAAGTCAAGAAATCAATAATATATAAATTTCACAAATTAGTTGATATCCACAAATTTAGTAGACTTCAATCAATATTTTGCTAACTAATAAAGAATAGATGTTTGAAAAAAAATTTAATAAGGATCCCCAAATAAAAATAATTTTAACACGTGTTTACTTCAAATTATGTTAGGAAGGATTTCACTTCAATGAAAAAGGATAAAGTAAACTTCAATTGAATGACTACACAAGAATTGATAACTTGTAACAAATGACAACTAGGGTTTACTTTTTATCATGCAGATGCATTTCAGTTTCAAAGGTAGATAGAAGAATATTAACAAAGAAAATAATGAGGACCCATAGTCTTTGCCTTTCTTGATTATGAAAAGGAAGATAAACTTTCCTATCGAAGTTTTGCAGTTTTCTCTTTCATATCACTAGCTTGTTATATGGTTCATTTTTAAGAGGTTGTTGAATAATTGACAATCGTACCAATATTATCAATCGCAATATAGTATTTCAATTAAATAAAAATCGATCCCACAAGGAGCGGTTTCACTGGAAATTTCAACTCATAAGCTTACTAAGTGTATTAACGCAAACTGGGTTTTCATAAACTTTGGAATTGAACACAAATAGTAAAAAGCTATAAAATGTATTTAGAAAAGATGAATTATAAGAACTTAGGATAGAATTACTTCCTTTTCTCTCCTTTGTATAATGGTTAGGTCAAATTACGAATGTCAATTAACCTATCAATGTCAATGTCACCTACTCAAATCATTCATATCGATTCTTCACACATAAAATTCATAAGAAAACCTAATAAACGTCAATTCCTCATACATTTAAGAGATTTTCCAGCATTAGGTCTAGTGTATTAAGCAATTTATACCTCCATTACCATTCATAACAATTAACATAGCAAATATTCTTAACCTGATCTAGGGTTCCAAGATATATTTTCTAATACATCCCAAACATTAAAGATAAACATTAAAGAGCACAAAGGATAAGAATATCAACATCAAGAACATAGATTAATATATCAAAATATCACCAAGATACAAAAGAGTTCAAAAGAAGTGTACTCAATCCTAAAAGAATGAAGTTAACCACTCATGATGGTCATTATAATGATCCAATGAAAAAGAATTCAAGAAGAATTGAAGATTGGATGAAAACTGGAGTAGATGATGTCTCTCTTCTCAAAATCTCGAACTCCACTTTTTCACAATACATCTTATCTTTTTATATCAAAATTTAGCATCATTCGCTCAAGCGGATATTTTCACTCAAGCGAGTACTGATGATTTTCGCTCAAGCGCTTAAGCGATTGAATTCCCGAGAGCTTTAACGTATTTTTGCTCAAGCGAACGTACGCCTCGCTCGAGCGAATGACTTCCAGAGAGGTTTAACGCATTTTCGCTCAAGCGAACGTCTATCCCGCTCGAACGAATCTTAGGCTGAAAATCTTCTTCCCTTTTTTTCCAATTTTTCTTCAATTAACTTGAGAATTATGATATTTGCTCTTGTACCCAAGTATTCTGTAAATTCATCCTACATTGGGAGAATAATATATTAGAATCAATATAATTTAAATGATTAAATAACAATTCAAAGTATAATTACATCAATTTTTGTCACTTAACAAAGGCCAACAAATGTCAATTCCTCATAAACTGTTAATTAGTTATATCTCATAAACTTGGAAAGGGAATAACTAGTAGACACACCTAACTTAATAATTGATTAACTGAAAAGATAAAAAAATTCCCATGTGAGATTATGCATGATTATAGATGTCACTCATTGCTGTATTTTACAAGATAGTTTGAAGTTTTTTTGGCTTTATCTTTGGCAGGTTGGAATCTAAGTTTGTCAAAAGAATTGTTGAAGAGATATTGAGTAAGTTGAATCGCACATATCTAAGTGTTGCTAAACATCCTGTTGGTCTGGATCCCCCGGTGAATGATATTAAATCACTTTTGGAAACTGGATTAGATGATGTGCGGTCTATTGGAATCTATGGAATTGGGGGAATAGGGAAAACTACAGTTGCTAAGGCTGTTTATAACCACATTGCTAATCAGTATGAGGGTAGTGCTTTCATTGCAAATGTTAGAGATGTTTCGAGTCAAAGATTTGGCATAGTTCGGCTACAAGAAGCACTTCTTTCAGGGGTTTTGAACCATGGATATTTTAAAGTGGGAAACAAAGATAGAGGAATTAATCTGATAAAAAATAGACTTTGCTATAAAAAGGTTCTCATAGTGGTTGATGATGTTGATTCATGGCAGCAACTGGAGTCTTTGGTTGGGGAATACAGTTGGTTTGGATCAGGAAGTAGAATCATCATAACAACTAGAGATGAGCATTTGCTAATTGCTCACAATGTGGAAGCAACCTACAAGGTCAAAGAATTAAGTCATGGGCATGCTCTTGAACTGTTCAGTTGGTTAGCTTTCAAAAAACTATTTCCTCCAACAAATTATGAGGAACTTTCCTTACACATATTAAACCATGCCAAGGGATTGCCATTGGCATTAACAGTTTTGGGTTCTCACCTGTGTGGTAGAGATAAATCACAATGGGTAAGTGCATTAGCTAAACTGGAAAAAATTCCAAATAAGCAAATTTATGAAGTGCTTAAAATCAGCTTTGATGGGTTGGAAGAGAATGAGAAGGCCATATTTCTGGATATTGCATGTTTCTTTAAGCGAGAGGACAAAGAGTATGTGAGAATGATACTAGATGGTAGTGAACTGTACTCAGATATTGGAATTGGAATTTTAATGGATAAATCTCTTATTACTGTAGAACTGAACAAGCTTTGTATGCATGAGTTGCTACAGGAAATGGCTAAGGAAATTGTTCGCTGTGAATCTCCCAAAGAGCCCGGAAAACGTAGCAGACTCTGGTTTCATGAGGATGTTCTTCATGTATTGAACCAAAATATGGTATACTTTTTTCCTTGAACATATCTATGTCATTATGAAGGTTCAAAGATTCATGCATCTACCTAATTATCTCTGTGTGTTAACTGCTTTGTCACTAGGGAACTAATAACATTGAAGGAATAAAGCTAGATCTACCTGAACCAAATGATCAGGTCGGCATAAGTGGAAAAGCATTGGCAAAAATGAAAAGACTTAGATTTCTGATGATCAATAATGCACAATTTTCAGATGACATTCAATATTTATCTAATGAGCTAAGACTAATTGATTGGCCGGGGTATCCTTCTTCAACTCTACCACCAACCTTTCAACCAAAGAGGCTTGTTTCTTTAAATCTGAGTCATGGTCGCATCAAAAACTTGTGGAAGGGAGTTAAGGTACAAAACTTTTTCTCTTTTAATGTAATATATTTTTAAATGTCAAAAGCTATTTTTAGTTTAATATTGTAGGTAATTGTCTTTCCTTCTTACTTTACTAATGATGCTTGGTCTTCCTCAGATATTCAGAGACTTGAAACTTGTCACCTTTAGCGGCTGTGAGTACCTCACTGAAATTCCTGACTTTTCAATGATTCCAAACCTTGAGAGTCTCAGCTTAGATCATTGTAAACGTTTAACTAAGGTGCATGAGTCAGTGGGATCTCTTGATAAACTTGTTGCTTTAGACTTCCTATTATGCTCCAACCTCAAGAACCTTCCAAGTTGTTTCAAGTTAAAATCTCTACGTACTTTTATCCTTACTGCCTGCTCAAAAGTTAGAAAGTTCCCTGAGATTGTCGAAAGAATGGTGCATCTTGACGAACTGCTTCTCCAAGGGACTGCCATAAAAGAACTACCACAGTCAATTGAATATCTAAATGGGCTGAAAGCGTTACTCTTGAATTCTTGCCAAAAGCTTGAGCATCTCCCTAGTAGCCTTCATAATTTGCAACAACTTACAGCACTTGGTCTCAGTGACTGCTGTAAGCTCAAGAAGCTTCCAAATCTTCCTCTAAGTACAAGATATATAAACGCAAATAATTGTAGATCATTGGAAATATTTCCAACATTATCCAACTCATCAAATTTCAGTGCATGGAATTTACCAAGCTTTTCTCAAATGATGTTCATCAACTGCTATAAACTGATTAATAAACAGATCCAGGACCACATAGCAAATCTCTTACACAATGAGGTAGACTTTACACGCTCTTCATGTCTCTTTGTCTGTATTCTTCCAGAAAAGTATTAAACACTGAAATTAAATTTTATGCTTCAGGAATTGGTGCATGAAGTTATGCTACCAGGGAGCAGCATCCCAGATTGGTTTCATCACCAGAGTACTAATGGTTCAATTTCTCTTGAGGTGTCTTCAAGGTTGTATGGTACAGAAGTGGAGCTGCTTTTCGGTGCAGTTTTTGAGTTGGACAAAGGTGCTATTACAACTGGTATGTTTTCATGTGTATACGAGGTTACAATCAATGATCAAAAGACCCTTGTTATAGCAACAAGTTTTGACTCATTGGATACAAGTCATGTGTGGCTGACTAAGATCAATACTGGTCGTTTGATATGGCCCCTCAAGAGTATCCATCGTCAAAATTACTTTAGGATTTCGTTTGGGATATCTGATGTCTCGTCAAAGGTGAAAGTAAAAGCATCCCTTAAGAGTTGTGGTTTTCATATATCATCCAAGAAAGAAATGTATCTTATTGATCATGAGACAGTTAGGAAGTACACAGGGAATGAACAGTAGGTTATACCTTAGTGCATTTATGTTGTCAACTATATTCTCTTGTTTTTCTTTTAGTAGTTCAACATTAATGTGTTTGATGCTCCTATGGACATGTTTTATGCTCAGATGTAAAGATATTAGTGAAGTATAGCAGAGTGCAGAAGCGTATAACTATTTGAATTAATTGTTTGTGGTTTTTCTACTTCACTTATTATGGATATTAACTGAGGCCCATCATACCCTAACCTTATGCAAAATTTAGTACACCTGTTATTGGGCTTGACCCAATAAACATACAAACACATGGTGCTTTCCAAATCTCACACTATGCAGCAAAATATGATTGATCTTATATACTTTTAAGTCATATATCCAACTAGTAAGAATGGTTGATGAATGAATAGTTTAAATGGTAATCAACATGTGAAATTGGAAAACAACATTTGAGTAAATGAGATGATCATGAGCTATTGGCGTAGGATTTCTTTTACTGTTCATATTGTGTTTTAAGTGTTGTATCCCACCGAATCATAGATCCAAAACCCAATCACAACTTTTCTCTCTGCGAAATATATGGTTGTATTGCATGGCACTCACCAACTCTGAATCTCAAATATGTAGTTGAGTTTGAATTTGAATCCAACCTCGACATTGAAGAGAAATCACGAACTCTGTCCAATCATCCAAGTTTCAGTCTGTGCTATGTGGTCACATTTACAGGTGGGACAAGTTGCTTTTAATTCTACCAAACTGCATTTCTTTCCTTTTTTTTTTTTTTTTTAAGTTTTATAATAATTAGTAACGGAATCAATCTTACCAAACCAATTACACTTAAAATTTACCGAGAAAGTGGTGTAAAATTGAAAAAAAATTATTTATATATTTAAATAATTCATAATAAAATATTTATTTTTATTTCTGTACAATTCAAAAACTCCCTTATTCTCTCATAGGAGTCTAAACCCAAAGAATATGTTTGATTTATTTCATTACAAAGAAATAAATCACCATAATAATACTTTATTAATTAATTTCCTTCACATTGATACAGTAAATATCAATCAAGTTGAGTAAAGAAAGATAAAAAATAAAAATAAAAAAGCACATGCAGTGCAGTCGCTATTGACCTGACAAGTGATTCCTTCCCCAGAAAACAACATAATATCGTGTTCTTTCCGTGTAACGACTGAACCACCAAATTTATATACAGAATGCCTAATCCAATATTTCTTTGTCATGTTTTTAATTATTGATCTTATTATTCTCTCTCACGAACTTGGCCAATCCTAAATAGAAAATACCTAATCCAATCTTTCTTTTTCAGGGTTAAAGTTTCTACTATTATTCCTTCTCACTAAGCAACACTCATATTAATGTCATGATCCATGTTATCAAAGAAAAATGTCTTTGATGTTAAATATTTAAAAATATTGTTCATTTTTTAATATTAAGATTATAAAAATTAATATTGGCATTGAGAATTTAAATATAAATTAAAATTCGTGTTGAATAAAAAAAATTAAAAGTTTAGGGAAGAGAATTTTCTATTTTATAATTATAGAAGAAGATGCATCTTATAAATCAAACATAAGTATAGGGAAGAGAATTGTGTATTTTAAAAGTACGACAATGGGATTTTTCTAAAAAAAATGTCCATAGAAGAATAATGAAGTCAAAAAGATTTTGGAGGCACCAAATACAGTTACATGCATAATATTCCCCACCCAACATCTTCTTTTCTTTCCCACGTTATATTCGCCCCCACCAACTTTTTAGCTGACGAAACCACCCCTCACTGTATTTTATAATATTCATCACTTATTTTTCTGATATTTCTTATTATTCTTTCAAATTTATGAATTTTCGTCTCTTATTTATTAAATGAAAATAAAACTATATAAATCTATTAATCAAATTAATTTTTATTTAATAATAAATATTTTAATCAAAAGAGTGTATTATTTAAATATAATTTTTATATAATAATTATTATGAATAATGATTTTTTAATATAATTCAAATCTTTTGTCTATTTTTTATAAAATATTTCATTAATTTTTTAAATTTTATTATTAGTTTTTTTATTATTTTTATATTGATTATTGAATGATGCGTAGGTTAATGTTTATGATTTTAAATGTAAATGAAATATACTTTTATATAATTTAAAAATTAATAACAAAGAAAAAATTAAAATTAAATACCGAAAAATTAATTTGGGAAAATACACTATGGAGATTAAAATTAATGGAATCAAATCATTAAATTAATGTTTATTTAACTTTGATAATTAAAAAGTTAATGAAATAATTAATAAGATAAAATATCAGATTATTTATATTAACAATAACTACTTATCATGCTATCATTCATTCTTTATCGAAACTATTTATACATAATAAAGAGTAGTGAGATGACTCTTTAAATATTTATTTATTTTATATAAGTGTATGTTTCTTTATTTAAATTTGCTTTTATTAATTTTAATTATTTTCCTTTTATGTATATTAATTTAGTTTGATAATAGAAATATTTTATAATAATTAATTGATTATAAAATTGGGAGATAAATAACAAGAAAACAAATAGCAAAATTGTTTCTATTTTCAATGGCTTTAAGCCTAATATTGAAATGTATCGACAAGTGCATTTTAATTAAAGTAATTTTGCAAAATAGAATAATAGCTAAAAGAGCATTTTAGTGCAAAAAGATAAAGATATAGAGTAATTTTTTTTAATTCATGAAATCATTTAAATTCTTTTAATTTCATTAAATCTTTTCAAATCTTATAATTTCATAAGTATAAATTCTTTAAAATTAATTACAAAATCTTAATCATAAATCATAGAAGCCTTTATAAAAATTATATTCTTACAAATGTTTTAACGTATGATTTAACACTACAAATAATAATTATTGAAGTTTATTAAATATGATTATCTTGTTTATTATGATTTGATAGTAGTGATAGATATTCTTAGAAATTGAGGGGTTAAAAATAATTTATAATTTTTATTCTTAAACTTAATAATCATTTAATATATTTATTCTTTTAATATTTTTTCGTATCTATAGTATAATTTATGATTTTAAATTAAAAAATTATTCATAATTTAATATATATATTTATATATTTATAATTTTATTCTCTTATTTTTTATTTTTTTCACTCTTTTATATTTATTTATTAATAATATATTATTTAATTTCAAAATTAACGGTGAAGGTACACACTGATTGAAAGTATATTCTTCAACATCTCTCTAAATTTTCTCTAATATGCTGCTTGAATATTTAGATTATTTTTCATATTTTATATTTTTTTCTTTTAATGATAGTAATTCAATAATTATTATAAAAACTGAACTTTTGTTTCCCAGATTAATCAAAATTCAATTAATTATAATTTAGTTGCTGTGTAAAGAATATTTTTAACGACAATGACATAAAAATAAAAAAAAATTAAAACGACACCAACATACAAATTTAATTTTAAAAGTACAATTATTTAAAATTTGAATGAAAAAAAAATTATTTAACACATTTAATTATTTTTTTTATTGGCCTTGATGATTCTAATTTAAGAATCAATATTACATACGTTTTGTGAGTTATTGATACAAAATGCAAATAAAAATTTAATGTATTGAAATTTTGATGGATTTTAAACGTAGAAGTGATAGAAAAAAGTTGATGAAATAAGGAATGATTATGGACAAACAAAATTTTCAACCATTAAGTTATTTTTTTATTTTATAATTTTGTATTATTTTTAAATTTAAGAGGAATTTAGATAATGAGATATATATTGGTTATTTGGGAGGATTATTCAGGTTTTGGAACAAAGTATTGATTGTGGGAAATACATATACTTGAAGAAGCTAGGGTTCAAAAATATCTAAATTAGGGAAGTTAAATATTTAAACAACAAGAAAATGTCTAGATAGAAAATATATATGTTTTGGTGTATTGTAATTTATGTTGTTTTAGTGTTATATGATGTTCATATTGTATGATTTTAATATAAATGAGTTATATTGTTGGATATTAAAATGGACAAGGTTGAAAACTGGGTGTTCGTCATGAGTCTCATATCACTTAGGAGTTGAAGTCAATGATTGTTTATATATATATCATTTCTCTTAACCTATCAAGACGTCTTTTAAAGATAAAATAGTGACCGACGAAAGCTCTAAAACGGACAATATCTTGGACGTGAAAATTGACCCTACTGTCATTGGCATCCACCGTAAATTAACCACTCTAAATTAATTTTGAATTGTCACTAACAGTGATTTGAGTCCAATACCTTAGAATTAGAGGTTGATACTCTAACCGATAAACTATTAGAATTTTCTCGATAATAATTTACAAATAAATTATATTTATATACAAAAATATATATATCCGTGTAAATATATAAATATAAAATATATAAATACAAATATATTTATATATTTTGATATATTTATATAGTTATATATTTATATATTTATATGTTGGATATGAGGACACACTCGAAGGTGAAAGTGTATGTCGAGTGGGTTTTCAAAATTTGATGTCAAATTTGTGAGCGAGTCTCTTTATATGGGTTTGTAATTTAATAACAGAATATAATCTTTATAATTTATTTATATAATGATATAAAATAAATTTAGGAAATGCGTCATTCGCTCAAGCAAAAAATACTAATTTTCGCTCAAGCAAGATATTTTCGCTTGAACGAGTGAATTTTTATGAGCTTTAATATATTTTCGCTCAAGCTAGAGTCAATCTCACTTTCATTGTCGACCGCGCTCTCACATTCAACATATAAATATATAACTATATAAATATATGAATATATAAATATATTTGTATTTATATATTTTATATTTATATATTTACATATATATATATATTTGTATATAAATATAATTTATTTGTAAATTATTATTAGAAAATTCTAGTAGTTTAGTGGTTGGAGTATTAGTTTGCAACTCTAAGATACTGAATTCGAATATTGTTAGTGACTATTCTC